GTTCAGCTGTGTTAGCTTCAACCAGTCATGGCTCTTCAGCCACAACCCCCCGCTCGCCAGCTCCAAGCCTCACGTGTAGTGAATTGTCTGGCTGACCCGGGCCATCTTGCCAGAAAGCTGTTTCAACACCTCTCCTCCGTCATAGAAGTATCTTTGGACTGCTGAGCTGCTCCACCTTCCCATGCGCTTGACCAGCTCGATCTCACCGCTGGCCTGGAAGAGTGCGCTTGCCCCTCCGATCCTGAGACTGTGTGACATGAATCGGTCAGAGGGCAATCCTTCGGCTCGAGCTGCTTTCTGTAAGATCACCTGGACCTCCGTCCTCTTGAGTGAAGTACCATTTCCCCACCGAAAGAGTGGCAGATGTGCTTCAGGTCCAGTACCAAAGCGGCGCCCAGCGGCAGCTCGAAGATCTTCTAGGGCACGTACAGGACATAGGAATGCCTCCCCAGTTGCCCCCATCGTCTTGCAGGAACCGAAGGTTTCCGGGTCTGACTTGCCACGGAGTCCTTGGCTCGCAGCATGAAGAACCAGGCCACCAGTAATGCGGCCTGAACCATCGCCTTGTCGACCTTGTCCTCGCCAAACAGATCGTCCTCGCATAGGTGCTTCCCGATCCAGACCAACATGCCTGGGGTCACTCCCAACCTGCGAGGTTTTCGGTCCACATGACGGTCCAGTGACCCTACCAGCATCCACACCCTGAACATGCCTTCCGTGCGGTCACCTGCTCCGCCTCGCTTGTGCCCGTCCTTCACCGCGAAGAGGGCCTGCTTGATGGTAGCTGCTGTAGATCCCAACCATCCCAGGTAGCCGAGGAAGGCGAGGATGCGATTCTCGTTCTCGAGCTTGTCCGCGCGGATGTTGAGGAAGCACGTTGCCCACCCCTGTCGAGTTGCCCAAGCCTCCCACTTCGCCCAAGCTGATGGTACATCTTGAGCGTGCTCACTGCTTTGCTCCCAGCGATGTTCTCTTCCAGCCACTCCTCGACCTGTTGTCCGACTCCTCCGTCGAAAGGTGGGCGGATGGGTTCCAGATGCACTTTGCAATCTGCTCCTGGGTGCGCTCGCTTTGAAGGAGTTCTTCCCCCAGCGCGACCATCCCTCTGATCGTCTCCGTCCTCCTCCGTCCCCCCGAGACACTCTAACCACAATCCTTCCAGGCGAGACACGATGTGCTGGTTGTAGGTATTTCCCCCTGCGCGACCATCTCCGTCTCCACGTAGCCCTGGCCCGAACTGAAGCCTCTTCCACTTTCGCAGCCATGCCACAGTAGTTTCGCCATGGACATGTCGTGAATCTCTCCTCCCAAGGCTCCTGCAATCGGCCCCCCTTCAAGGATCTCCCAGCTCTACCAGGGCGGCCATGACCAAGAGCCCTGCCGCGACCTGAATGCCTGTTGCCCGGTTGGCGTGCTCGTAGATCTCCTCCTCGTTGCGACCTTCCGCCCTAAGGCGGTCCCACTCCTCCTGGGTCCTGCCCTGGCACAACCATATTTCCAGAGGAGACAGGTTTCGAAGGTGGCCTGGCTTTCCTAAGAGGCCACCTCCCAGGGCCAGCCAGGCCGTGGACATTTTTTCTGTCACCATCAGGGGTCTCCCAATGTCCAACAACTTGCGGAAGCAACGGGTTGCGTGGGATGCCTGGCTCAATTGTCAACCGACAAGGCTTTCTCCACACCAAATCATCCCCATGATTCACCCTTTGAAGAGCTGCTCCCACAGGCGGTGCCGTCACTGACCGGACCAGAAATCGTTTTGCCATATGTCCTCCGAGGCCCCGCACTGTTCCCACCAAGCAGTTGCGCCTGCGGGCCAGGACTTCGCCTAACTCCGTGGACACGAACTCGAACTGGATGGTTTTTAGCCCCGCATCCTCCATGCCTTTTACGTGGCCCTTCCCATACCGCCGCCTGTGGTCCCTGAGCCTTCAGCTGCTCCACGAACTTTTCTTGATGACCTGGCCCTTCGAGTCGACGGGGATCGTAGCCAGCACCACCTTGACCCTGCTGAGTCCTTCTCCCCAATGCTGGCTCTCCAGGAGGTCGAAGTCCCTCACCCATCGGTCTTGGCATGCCAGCTCGACGACCTCCATACGATCCCACGGGATGCCCACCGGGCGGTCAACAAATCGTTTGAGCCTTTGCTCCTTCAGCTGCATCATCGTTTGGCGATCTTCGGGGTCCTTCCATGACAGGAAGCAGGGTCCAAATCGTTCAGTGTCCTCGATGGCACGGAAGATGGCTGGGCCGAGGTCAACATTGGTCCACCCCTTCTGCTCCAGGAACTTCACGAACTCCCCCTCCTCGCACCTGGTGATGAAGTCTGAGTCCGTGTTGTGGTAAGTCCTCCACCACGCCCCGACCAACGTGAACCCATAGTTCATCTCACAGAGATTGATGACTCTGACCAACAACCGGCCGGCTCGTGACCCACTTTGCCTCTTGCATACCCATTGCCTCACGGTCGAATTGTCCCCGGCGTAGAGCGCCACTTTTCCTTTCCAGTCGGGCCCCCGCTCGCACATGAACACCACCAGAGACAACATCTCCGAGATGTGCGCCCGCATGTTGACGTCGTCCTGCATCTCTTGCTCTGCCACCCCTTTCAACCACGGTTCGAGGTCGGAGACTTCTGCTCTTGCGGCCATTTTGAAGGTCCAATCGACCGCTCCGATCACTGAAGTGGTGGCGTCGGATGACACCCACACCGTGCCCTGCCACTCGTTTGGCAACCCCAGCCGTTCCCTGACTCGGAGGAGTTCCTTGAAATTCGTTCCGAAGCGAGCTTCCCAGGTCTCAGAACGGGCGCACAGCCACCTACAAGTCTCGAAGAGCTCCCACAGGTCGGACCAGGCGTTCTCCTTCTCCCTGGATGAAGACTCAGGAGAACCTGAACAGATTCCCACGGCGGCCGAATCTTTTGTGCATAGTTTGGGCATATCTGTTACTGAGGAACAGAAGTCCCAACTTCATGGGCTCCTCAAACGTCCGAATCAGGACAATGATGACGCGCAGGAAAACTGAGACGATTTCGCCTACCCCCTCATCAAACCAATTTGAAATGGGGCGGACCATTCCTGTTCCAGAAGATGACGCTTTGTCATGTGATGGCTCAGAAGGTCAACACCTTCCACTTCAGAGGCCTACACGGGCCCGACGCCCAAAGACATGAATCACTATGAGTATGCATCAACCACAGACCTCATACTTCAAAATCTCAGCATGATCATTGGCGACCCAAGCGTCCGATGTTATGCAAAATGCACCTTGGCGTGCTTTCTGCTGGATGTGCGCCTATCTGGCTGTGTCAACCGAGAGCCATGGGGGACCATCAAGGACGCAGTTCAGACCTCATTTGAACTTAGCGAGCCAGTTGACATCAAGACACTTCCAGGACTGGGGGGCCTGTCGCTAAAGCACGACCTGAACACAGAAGGAAACGCCTCACACTTTGTGAACTCCTTATGGTTGAAGTCACAAACCAGAGTCGTGCAGTACCGGCGCTTGGAAATCAAAGAAGGAGGATCTCTTGTGGAGCATGTGGAGTTGCCGCTCATAGTGGATTACCTTGACGAACTCCTCGTCGAGATCACATGGCAAGAGCTGCTCAATGGATGGTCCAACCAGGGACTAGGACGGTTTCTGGCAACGACAAGTTGGTGCTTGGACACAAGCGAGCCCCGAACCCGAACCCACATGGTCCGTTCACGGTGCCAGGTTCCCTTGATGGGGTTTCAAGAGCCGCAGCTGAGTACATGCCCATCGCTTACATCTGTCATAGAGGTCTTCTATGACAGGGCACTATTTCGCCATCCTGGTCTACCGGGACCTCATGTGGATTGCAGACGATGGAGAGGTACACCTACGGTCCTCCATTTTCTGACACCGCAACTTGCGGGACAGATCGTACAAGTGTGGGCAGTCCAGACTTCTGTCTTTGTGACCCCGCGTCAGATCGCGAGGGCCCTACCAGCGCCAGAAGTCAACCAGTTGTCACCAACCAATTGCCACCCACCAATTGCCACCAACAAACTGCTTCCAACCAGTTGCCACTAACCAATTGCCACCAACCCATTGCCACCAGGAAATGCCACCGACCAATTGCAACCAAGAAACTTCCACCCACAAACTGCCACCAACCAACTGCCACCGACCAATTGTCACCCACCAACCACCAATTGTCCGCTGCTGTGTCTGGTGAAGTTGTGAACATGTGGGGTTATCCGGTCCTATAATTAAGACGCGTTGAGGAGCACGTGGAGTTCGTTGTCACGGCTCCACAACCAGTCAAGCGCGCGCTTCGCGAAGGTTGTGATGTTGGCCACATGAATCCGCGTGGATTCTTGGGTGCGCCGGGCCTTCTTGGGCGGGGTGCCATGAAGTGGCGGATCGAAGTCAGGTGTGACAATTTGTTGGTGACAATTTGTTGGTAGCAATTGGTTGGTGACAGTTGGTTGGTGACAATTAGCTGGTAGCAATTGGTTGGTAGCAATTGGTGGGTGGCAAGTGATTGTGGGTGGCAATTGGTTGACGACAGTTGGTTGATGACAATTGGTTGGGGACAATTAGTTGGTGGCAATTGGTTGGCGACAGTTAGTTGGTTGGTGACAGCTGGTTGGTAGGTCTCTGCCCTTCTGATTTTTTTTGAGGGCCTGTTTTTCTAAAAAACATGGCCCTCAACCAATTGTCATCAATCAATTGTCACGCCAACCAATTGCCACCCACCAGTTGTTGTTATTGTTGTTGTTGGTGTTGTTGGCCCATCTTGGGCCATGTTGGCCCATCTTGGCCCAATTCCCTCCGGGGCCTATGTTGGGTTCCTCTTGGGCCTATGTTGGGCCATCTTGGGCCTATGTTAGGCCATCTTAGGGCTATGTTAACCCATCTTGGACCTATCTTGGGGGCCTCTGTTGGCTCATCTTGCGGTACATTTTGTGCCATATGCGTTGACACGGGCCCATGATTCAATTATACACGCGCGGGCGGCGTGCGTTACCGACACCGCCCTTGTAAAGCCCACGGTTTTTGCATTTCACCACTGCCCAAATTGTAGGTCTGCTACGCCCACAAAAACCCTGTAAAACACAGTGTTTTTGAACGCATCGCGCGCAGATCACAGCGGAACAGCGGCGGAGACCCAGCGGCGCCAGCCAGCACCGGGGCGTACATCCGACCCCCTGGAGATTGGTTGATGACAGTTGGTTGGTGGTGATTGGTTGGTGACAATTGGTTGGTTCTTGAACAATTGGTTGTTGAATGGTGGTTGTTGACAATTGTTGGTTGATGACAATTGGTGGGTAGCAATTGGTTGATGACAACTGGTGGGTGGCAATGGGTTGGTGACAATTGGTTGGTGACATCTTTGGTTGGTGACATTTGGTTGATGACAATGCGGTTGATGACAATCGGTTGGTGAGTGACAAGTGGTGGAGGCGCGGAGCGAGGAGGAGGAGCGAAGGAGGAGCGGATACCAGACTAAAAACAAAAACCCCACACATCAATGTGGGGACAATGCAACGAAGGCAGCTCTTTGTGCCAATATTTCGAAGTGCGTGGCCTTCGCGCCTTTGGCGCGCCAGCGCACAGCAACACCAACAATGACGGCGCCCGCGGCGGCGTTCTGATCCTCCATGATACGGCTCATGGCATCACGGATGTTGAAAGCTTCCACATCGAGGGATGTGGTTACCATGCTTTCTTGTGGGAGGCAAAGGCCAGATCCATCTTGGTGGCTGCCGTCTACTTCAAGACGAACGAGAGCGTCCAAGGGCCAACTCCCAACTCCTTGCGCGACTCCTTGCCTCGATCAAGGCCACCAATCGACAGTACATGCTCATAGGAGACTGGAACTGCAACTCGGACCAGTTTTTGGGAACTGTCCTCGGATCGAAGTTGCGCTGGCAAGTATTGGCCCCAGATGCCAGCATGATCAACGGCAACACGGTTGACTTCGCCCTCGTCCACAGCAATCTGGCCCTCAGATCAATGACAACTGAGTGGGCAGTTCCGTGGCGGCCTCACTGTTTGCTGACTTACGCACTGGCGCTGGATGATGAATCTATCGACAACTTCGAACTTTCTCAGCACCCCTGCTCCAGCTCATCCAGGACAGGAGACGACAGCCACTATGCCAACCCAACTACGCATGCACATGGTGGTTATGTTGGCAAAGAATCCACAAATAGAACGACCACATTGACCTCGGTGTTATACCGTGCCTGGTGCCGTCTCCGCAAAGAACATCTCGATGCATGGCAAACCAATCTACCAAAACGCCTCCCACTACATGCATCAGAAGCCGCAGACAGCGCAAAAAGCAGCCTATCCAACAATGCCAGGCATCTTACCAAGAAGGATTGCACTGATGGAGGAAACACCGCAGCGGCTACCAGTGTGATGTATGCGAGATTGGGGGTTCACCAGGGCATCGCACTTGAGGTCATCACTGCGCGTCTCCGCGGGCACCAAGCCAGGAAGCAGCGGGGTGGCCGGTGGGCCGCGCAACAAGGGTGCAACAGGTTGCCGCCCTAGTCCGGAAGCAGGGAATCTCCGCCGAAAGGCCAGCATCACTATGTGGAGATTGTCGGCTACCTGAAATGCCAGCGCTACAAAGTCTCAGTGCTCAAGTACTGCAATGAGGAGGCTTTCCAGGACCTTGTGTAGATCAGGCCTTCACGCGCCGCAATCCGGCCCATTCCACACATGTGCTCTGGCAAGTCGCAGAAGACCCACTGCAGGCAATGCGGCAACTGCAATGTAATGTTAAGTATGTATGTATGTATGTATGTTGTTTTGGTCTTTTCCGCTTCATGTGCACGGGGCCGTGTTGGCCTCAGGCTTGTGCCTGATCGAATGTAGTCCACCTGGAGCTCCATGTCGGTCTCCTCGACAAGCCGTGTGGGCCGTGGGGCGGACATTACATCTTCAGTAGGGGTGCTGGTGGCCGCAGGCATAGTGCCCGGTGGAGTGTTGTGGAAGTAGGCTCCCAGCGTAGGGCTTGAGGACATTGTTGCGGGGCAAGGCCGCTCCAGAGCTTGGGTCAGGATCCTTGTGGATGTTGAGGACCATGCGTTACATTACATTACATTACATTACAGTACAGTACAGTCATACGTATGTACATACATACATCCATACATCCATACATCCATACATCCATACATCCATACATACATACATACATACATACATACATACACACACATACCCACGTACGTACGTACGTACATACATACATACACGCATACACACATACATACATACATAGATAGAAACACATACATACACACATACATACTAAAATGGTACAGTCTTGCCTTCCTAGGTGATGTGATGATTCAGATCACTTCACAGGTCAAGCCAAGTCAGTTTGCTGCCATCCTAGCATATCAAAGACGTAACAAGGGATCCTGCGCGTTTTGCTGACAACATCGCGCCACAGTTAGGCAAGTCCTGGCAAACCACCGTTGATGATTGCCATCGATCGCAAGGCTTCATAGATCAACGCACATTATCACACATCACCTGAGCTCGCTTGACTTGAGCAAAATGCATGTGCGCCAGACGTGTCTGCAGATTCAAACCAAATGTGTTTAAATGAACATGCCTTTCGGTGGATCGTACACATAGTGGTCTCAATGATGGATCGCACAGAGAGGAACACACCATCAGCAGCAAGGCTCTGCAGCAAGAGTGAGGACTGCAACAGAAGCAACAGCACAAGAACAACGCAAACCCCAACAACAACAGCTTTACCACCGCCCCAACAAGAACAACAACAACAAAAAACAAAAAACAGGTCTGCGTGTTTTTTCAGCACAAAGTGCGACGAGGAAACCTTTACGTGTTCAAACAAAAGGGTATCAGGGCGTCTCTTCACATGACGGTGCGTGCTAGGTGTACATCACAAGCAAAACCTTTAAAGTGCCTTTCATCCTGCACGTTCCCAAGAGCACACCACAACCCTGTACGAATTTCTACGACAGGTTCATGCTACAAATTGCTACACAGCCCCACAGATCGCTGCAAATGACCGCAGATGATTACCAATCGCCTGAGATTGCCAGCCACAGATCACTGTGCACCACCGCGGACCACAGCAATTAACCAGAGATCACGCCGTTGCGAATTCCAAAAGATCATTGCCAAGCATCAGATTAAAAGCCAGCGCAGATCACCACAGAATCAGCGTGAATCACTAGTAGGTTTGTACCACTGCAAACGGCCTTTTTAGACTGTCTTGGGAAGCTATCTCCCTTGCCAAGAGCAACGCTAGAGAAGAAAGAATTAGCTCTTACATACATGATCAATTTGAAGTTGTCGCCTGGCCTAATTACACAAACTCAGGACCTTTTTGATTGGAGTGCATCGTTTCGATGTGGCGGCATTGTATGCACTAACATCAAAACCAGACATTTGGTTTGGTCGTTAAGGGCAAACTAAACCCCAGCCAGCCAAACGCCGGAGAACTACATTTGACGGATACCTGGGCCTTGGTCTTTCCTCACCAATCGATTGCATTTTCACCACACTTTGAACCCAGATGCAGCAAAATTGCTCGTTGACTCCTTGACATAAACCATTCCAATCTTCAAGACTCTAAAGAAAGGAGCTGGCCTTAATGTTGTGCAAGCGAGACTTTATTGGTTCATTGAGGGTGCCCAGATTGCCATTGTCACCACGCACAAATGGCCCTGAATTATATATAAATCATCACATGGGACAAGATCGACTCGATATGATTGATGCCATGCTGGCAATCGCGCTGTGTGTAGTGAGTGGACCCTGGCACACAACGTAGCTGACCTCCACATGCTGTGACGCACGCTCAACATGGAGACGGGCAACGGAGACTGTCAACTACCTCCGAAAGTTTTGAAATGCGTGGGTTGAAACTTGGATTCAAAAGAAGAAAAGTACAAAAGGGTTCAATGAAGAAGACAATGTTTGATAAGTAGCTACTGTAAACATTACTATTTCTATCTTCTAAATGATATATATATATATAAGCAAACGGTGCCAGCAGCATTGCACCACATACCACCTTCAATGTTTAGGTTGCGACCTGACCTGCCAATGCCACTTCCCCAAAATACATTCAAGAACTGTGCAGTGCGGTTCCTGTTCTCCTTTCCGCACTTTCCTCTGAAACTGCCATGGCCTGTTCATGTTCCACACATAGCTCAGGCTCTTGATTTCCGCCTAGACCTCGGACCCCCGAAGGGATATGCCATCTGAAGAGTCAAAAGAACACAATGGGGACTGTTTGGTGACTGCAAATGAGGCATACGTCCAGATCACAAATCAGCCTTTGGTCCGTTCATCAGTGATGCTGCAGGGGGATCCGCAGGCTTCTCCTTTTCCCGACTTTCCATGTTCAACTCGGTCGGATCATCAGTTTGCCAGGTCAAATTTGCCTACAGGAGTCCATCACCTGTATTTGCTGTTTTGTTACATCTTTGGAGGCAGGGCGCGTGAAGGTCAAAGAGTGGCCTTTAGTGCATAGTGTTGAGGACAGAGGGAGTGAAAGCTCTGTGGCTTGGAACTGGAGTTTGTAGCTCAGAGGAAAATTAACGCAATTAAGTTGAATGACTGCACGCACAGTCGACGTGAGGTAAGTATTCTTCGGACTGCCCCAAAATATGTCTCGGCTGTCGCAGCAAAGGCCGTGCGCTCTGGGCCTTTTTCGAGATGAAAGTTTGAGATTTGTCCTGCAAAGGAAAAACCTTCGGTGTTGTTTGCTTACCTTGTGAAAACTATCCTGTGGCTTTCATGCTATCAGGTGGGCTGTGGTCACTGTTGGTTGCGGATACAGTGAGTGAAGTTGGAATCTTCGTTTGTTGACACAGGACATGTTGGAGGAGTTCCTGCCGCCAACCGATTCAACGCATGGGAATGTGCTCGCCTGAAGGGTGCAGTTGTGAAAGTGAGGATACAGTAAGGCTGTGGATCAACTCCTGCCAGTCACCAAGCAGAGCATTCATCGTGCACGTGGCTCAAGCGCATGGCGTTGTGACTTTTACAGTGGCAGCGGAGCTTACTCTGGGGGACCCATTTGTTTGGGAAAAATTAACCGATTTCTCCAGGACTTAAATCCACGTGACTTTTTGGATTGCATTCTATTCCGCTTTGGTCTCCATGTGAGCAGCTGAAGTCCCAGATACACTAAGCAAGAGGAGAACATCCAAAGCAGAGGAGTCCACATCTTCATCCAACGCGAGGTCGGCCAGTCATGGCCCAGGAACACGTCAATGGACTTTATGGGTAGACTTTACGGGTTGCCTGCGATGGCAACCTTCACGGCTCCGGAAGAAGAGTCGCGGAGCACAGAAGCCAAGATCCAAGTTCTCCGCTATGATGGCCAAGTTGCAAAGCTCGTGGAGTACGGGTTCAGGGTCAGGCTTCACCAGGCTAAGAGAAGGCTGTGGATAAAACAGAACTCAGAAAGTGCGGGCCTTTAGTTTTGCTTGTGGCCTTCCTTTTCGCCAGGGACGAGGGAACCACACGGTGCTCACTTCAACCAACGTCGCTCGAAGCAGGAGGCCAAGGATCTTCGGTGCCAGATCGTGCAGAGCAGACAGCGTTGGGAGGGCGCCGTAAGCTATGTGCTATTCCGCCGCGCGTGGTGCAAGTTTTGATTCTGGACATGGATGCCTGTGTAAAGCTGCCGGAAGGCATTCTGGCAGAACGGATTTTGAAGAGCGCTGGAATCTCCCAAGGCCATCAACTTCTGGTCAGGGTGAATGTGATGCGGTGAGTGGTATTCTTTGACTCAGAAGAAGAGAACCTCTGTGAAATTGAGGATGCAGTAAAGGCTGTAGATGAATTCCTACCAGTCACCAAGCAGAGCATTCATCGAGGACGGATCACCGCCTTGAAGCGCGCGACTTCGCAAACACGAGCGTCGCACTTTGTTTTTGGCGGGTGGCAGTGGCCGCTTCCTTTACGAAATGCGTCAGACCATTCCAAGTGTGAACTGCTTTGCACTTTGCTTGTTTCTGTGTATATATATATATATATGTATGTATATTTGGGTTTCCGGGAGTATTTAGGCCTCTACACTGTACTGCTTTCTAGAGTTTGTGAGGGTGCGATGAATTTCATTTACCTACCTAAGTTCAAGTGTTTATGCTTCGGGCGGCGTGCAGGAGTATATTATCGACAGGCTGACTGTGTGGAGTCGTAAGAACAACACTGGCTCTGCAAGAAGGATCATCTCTGGCTTCGCCCATCCTGGACTCGCCCAAAAAATTGCTATACTACGGAGTTGAAAGTTCGTGGGAAACAGGGACGGTTGTGTGCTGCCATGCGCTTCCAGACATTGAGGAGTTCAATCTTGCTTTTCGTGTTCGTTCTTCCAAAGTTCATTGTTTGCTGCAAGGCCAGCGTCAGACTTTGTTTGGATTCTTGTTTTTTTGCTCAGTGCTCGGCATCTACTGCCCTCAAAGGTTGCCAAGGCCTTGTCTCCTCTCACAACCTCACGGGATCCCAGGGACCCGAGTGGCTCACGGAAGTTGAGTGTGTTCCGTTTGATGGTTTCGGATCGTGATGGTGGTGACAAACTTGACAACCCTGCCTTGTCCACTCCCTGGAAAAAGTCTTGACCTTGGCACGCTCCCGTCTAGCTGTGATGATGCCCAAGGTCCCGATACACTGGGGGTGGGCCTGCAACATGCGTGCCTGTATTGTCTCTTGAGCTTTACGCGTCCGCATTTTGAGTTCAGCAAACATGCAAGTGCTTGGGCGTCTATCTGAATACAGACTTGTTCAGATCCAAAAAAGATCTAGTTTGAAGCAGTGTCAATCCAGTATGTGAGATGGTTGCAAAGGGCAGGGAAGCCTTGCCTGTGTGTGATTATGTCAGCTCCTCGAAATTTGCTCTTTGTTTACCAGGCCTGTCGCTCAATCCTAAAGTCCCTTGCAGCAAGTGTGGTTTGGTGGCTCAGCGACAGTGAGTGACTGCGTACAGGGCAGGGCTGGAACGCTTAGGTTGGGTCCGTAGTGACAA